TGAGTGCACGCGCCCTATAGCAAAAACCTCTCAAAAAAAAAAAAAAAAGAAGAAGAATAAAGAAAGAACTACTGCACAAGATTCACATAGTTTAAAGCCATTTGTTTTTTTTAAATATATATATATGTTTTCTTTATTTAAAGGGAAGAAGGAAGGAAGGGAGGGAGGGACCAACTGAGGAATTCCTAAATGTCTCTCTTTGCAATACTGCATTTGAAAAAATATTTAATTTTTTTTTTACAATTAAAATCTTCGCTATTGGACACATGCACTAACCAGAGGCAGCAGAAAGAGAAAGAGAGAGAGAGGAAAAGTGAAAAAGCAAGCTGCCAGGTCCAGGACTCAAACCACAGTCAGCTATGTGGGGATCCAGTGCCTTAACCACCATGCTACCTGCTGGCCTCACTCATACTTTTTCTAATTGTCAGAAAGCATGTGCATTCACCAGAGACAGAGGGAGAGGGAGGAGAAGGCACTTGCCACTGGGGTGTGGTCATGTCTCGCTCCACTTTTCTTTCCTTCTGGGCATGCACACAAACCCAAAGTATCTTCCACACAGCTAGGGTGAGGACTTGAACCCAGGCCAGTTATGTGCAATCTGGCTCACTCAACTAATAGGCCAGGGAGCTGGCCCCAAATAAACTTATACTTTAATTTCATTTTTCATGAAATTTTTGAAGTTCCCCTGTATAATTTCTAAGTCAATACAGGAATAAATGAAATGAGAAATGAAAAATAAATCCCAAGGGAGGGCAAAAGGGGGAGAAAAAAGTATTAAAAGATGAGGCTAATAAAGAGCCCAAAATAAGAAGGATGTCTCATTTTGTACAGAAATAACTATGTTCACTTTGCGATATTTATGATAATTTATTTGACCTGTATACTTATTTGGTCAGATTAAGGCCATGTGAAAGACCTGACTTTGATTCCTGGCCCACCCTAAAAGGAGGCACAGTGCCATGCACCTGTAGTCCCAGCTACTCCCAGGCTGAGGCAAGAGAATCACAGCGTAGTGAGACCCTGTCTGGGGGATTAAAACAAACACACAAACAAGAAAACAACATTGAAAACTTACGGGTACAGAAAGGTTGAAAGTAAAAGGTCAAAGATGTACCAGGCAAATAACCAAAAATATGTTGAGGTGGCTATATTAACATCAGGAAAAAAATCAATTTTAGGACAAAAGGAATGATAAAAAGTTTGATTCACCAGGAAGACAGAACTACAAGGGCAAATAGAGGCCCCCTGGGGGGTGACCGCGCCCTGTAGCAAAAACCTCCAAAAAAAAAAAAAAAAAAGAAGAAGAATAAAGAAAGAACTACTGCACAAGATTCACATAGTTTAAAGCCATTTGTTTTTTTTAAATATATATATATGTTTTCTTTATTTAAAGGGAAGAAGGAAGGAAGGGAGGGAGGGACCAACTGAGGAATTCCTAAATGTCTCTCTTTGCAATACTGCATTTGAAAAAATATTTAATTTTTTTTTTACAATTAAAAACTTCGCTATTGGACACATGCACTAACCAGAGGCAGCAGAAAGAGAAAGAGAGAGAGAGGAAAAGTGAAAAAGCAAGCTGCCAGGTCCAGGACTCAAACCACAGTCAGCTATGTGGGGATCCAGTGCCTTAACCACCATGCTACCTGCTGGCCTCACTCATACTTTTTCTAATTGTCAGAAAGCATGTGCATTCACCAGAGACAGAGGGAGAGGGAGGAGAAGGCACTTGCCACTGGGGTGTGGTCATGTCTCGCTCCACTTTTCTTTCCTTCTGGGCATGCACACAAACCCAAAGTATCTTCCACACAGCTAGGGTGAGGACTTGAACCCAGGCCAGTTATGTGCAATCTGGCTCACTCAACTAATAGGCCAGGGAGCTGGCCCCAAATAAACTTATACTTTAATTTCATTTTTCATGAAATTTTTGAAGTTCCCCTGTATAATTTCTAAGTCAATACAGGAATAAATGAAATGAGAAATGAAAAATAAATCCCAAGGGAGGGCAAAAGGGGGAGAAAAAAGTATTAAAAGATGAGGCTAATAAAGAGCCCAAAATAAGAAGGATGTCTCATTTTGTACAGAAATAACTATGTTCACTTTGCGATATTTATGATAATTTATTTGACCTGTATACTTATTTGGTCAGATTAAGGCCATGTGAAAGACCTGACTTTGATTCCTGGCCCACCCTAAAAGGAGGCACAGTGCCATGCACCTGTAGTCCCAGCTACTCCCAGGCTGAGGCAAGAGAATCACAGCGTAGTGAGACCCTGTCTGGGGGATTAAAACAAACACACAAACAAGAAAACAACATTGAAAACTTACGGGTACAGAAAGGTTGAAAGTAAAAGGTCAAAGATGTACCAGGCAAATAACCAAAAATATGTTGAGGTGGCTATATTAACATCAGGAAAAAAATCAATTTTAGGACAAAAGGAATGATAAAAAGTTTGATTCACCAGGAAGACAGAACTACAAGGGCAAATAGAGGCCCCCTCATGAGGGTACACGCACCATAGCTTCCCATTAACTGATGGGCCAAATAGACAAAAAGGCATCTAAAGAGTCAAAAGACTTGAACATCACAAATTAACATGTTGATATGAGGCATGTGGAGAGAAGCCGGCACCTAACAATTGCAGAATCTATCTTCTTTTCATTAGAGCATTAGAAAATTGTTCACATTCCAGGCTAAAAAGCAGTTCTCAACACATTTCCAAAAAATGGATACCATTCAACCAATATTCTCCAACTACAGTGCAAATTTAGTTATAAATAACAAAAGGACGAAGAAAAAGTATGCTTAAAAATGAAACATTTCTGAAGTCAAGAGTCAAAGAAAAAATCCTATGAAAACTGAAGCCTATTTAGAACTCCAAATAATGGAAATCTTGCAAATTACAACTATGACCTCTCACGCAAGCTATTCTTAGAGGAGAATGGATAGCCTTCGATGCTTCCGTTAGCAAAGAAGAAAGGCTAAAATTAATGCGCATCCACCTTGAAAAAGTTCAAAACAACGGAAAAGACTCAGTAAACTAGAAGGATGGAAACACAAGAGAAGCTTAGAAATGAATGAAATAGGAAACAAAGAGAAAAGCCGTAAAGGACCTTGGTTCTCTGAAGACAGGTGCACAGATCTCTGGCAAGCTAGCTCTAGGAAGCAGAAGGAACAATTATAGCGGGACACCACTGCTCAAGACTAGCCTGACCTGAGTTGCTTTATACCAGCCTGGACTTGAACTGCGGCTGACTACATGGGAGTCCAGCGACATAGCCATTACACCAACTGCTAGTCCCACCAGCCTGGACTCTTCTCTCCAAGGCTGTTTCTTTTCTTTTTGCTTCCTGTACCCATGCCAGCAACTGCTTGGGCTGGGGTGCTGGTTCTCTGGGTTTGATTGTGGACATCTCTTGCTCAGCAGACATTCCCATACCGGGATGTCCAGTCCCAACAAGTGGAATGGAACCCCTCTTTTGAGGCAGGGCCAAGAACAGAAGGGAGAGCTCTGTAGTAGATAAATAAATGCGACCATTTTCTATTAGGTTGTCGGAAAATCGTGACGTATTTTTGCATAGAAAAACAGAAAAAAAAGTAGGTCGTGACTTTTTCTGACAATAAATTAGCTACTGAGTGGGGAACATAACAACATCCCACTATTCTGATCGTCCAGGATAAAAAGGCTTGTGTCTGAGGCAGTACCAGCCACGAGTAAGAAGATGTTGTAAATCCCCAGGAGCAAAAGGATGGTTGTCCAAGTTGAGTCACTCAGTGGATGAGTTGGGGTTCAGATGCCCGCTACTTTTTGTCTGTTAAGCTGGGCACAGGAGAACACGCCTTAGTTATGTTCCATCCTTCTTTTTGAGCCCCTGAGCCCCAACCCCCTACAGAAAACTGGCAGATCTACTCTTTTGTGGACCTGACATTGGCCATACCAAAGCTCCCCTTTCCTCTGTCTGCAGCCGGCTCTCCAGCTCTGCTCCTGCACCACCCTGACAGCGAGGCCCACCAGTCCCGCAGCCTTTGCAGCTCTCTGTGAAAGGCCTTGCGCACGGCGGAGGAGGAGAAATAGAAAATCAAGGGGTCAATGCAGGCATTGAGAGCGCTGAGCAACACAGCGCACGCCCTCCAACTTTGACTGCGTCTCTGGAAGTATCCCACCACGTGAGACACGTTGTAGGGCCCAAAACAGACCAGGAAGTTGAAGAGGGTCACAGCAGCCAGCGCCACGGCTCTCCAGCGCTTCTGGGTTCCAACGTGAGGCCGGGAGAGCATGATGCTCACGAAGCGCCAGTAGCAGAAGATGGTGACGGCCATGGGGATGAAGAAGAGGACCAGGCACAGCTCCAGCCGCACGGGCAGCACCACCCTCAGCTGCTCGTCCGTGAAGTCATCATAGCAGACAGGGGGGTCTTTGGCATGGCTCACGTTGTTGGTGGGTAAGTACTGGACAATGATCACGATGCTACAGTGTCCGAAGGACAAGATCCAGGAGACCAGAGCAGCAATCACTCCATACAGGGGCCGGCGGAAGAGCTTGTACTGCACAGGAAAAGCCACGCTGCGGTAGCGCTCGATGCTGATGCCCGCCAGCAGCCACGTGCTGCAGTAGATGCCGCTGTAGAAGCCATAGGCAGTGAGGGCACACACGACCTCTCCCAGGGGCCAGCGGAAATCATATGCAGCCTCCACTATCTTGAAGGGCACCAGCAGTAGCAGCAGCAGGTCCGCCAGGGTCAGGCTGAGCAGGAGGATGTGGATGGGCGCCGGCTGGGACTGGCGGACTCGCCCCACGAAAGCTCGCAGGGCCAGGAGGTTGGCAGGGAGACCAATGAGAAAAGATATGATGTAGATGAAGAGAATTCCCACGCTTCGGGGATGAAGGGCCATCCTTCCTGAAAGGATAAAACATGGAGTCAGAATCTCCATTCTCCTCCGGGAATCTTGGGCATGCATCCACACACCCCCGGCGTGAGTTCAAGCCACTGAGTCTGGGACTCAAACTGAGGTCTACTACATGGGAGTCCAGCGACATAGCCATTAAGCTAACTGCTGGTCCCTAGGCTTTTTTTCTTTATGACCAAGTAGTATTCCACTGTTACTTATACCACAGCGTGCCCCCCCCCCGGGCGTGATTTAAAGCCACTGAGTCTGGGACATGAACTGCGGTTGGCTACATGGGAGTCCAGCTAACTGCTGGTCCCTCTAACTGTGGATTTTTTTCAGGCCCAAACCAAGGTGAATCCATTCCTAGTCTCACTGCAGCATCTTGCTCTGCATTGTCAGGTGAGTTTCAGTAACTCTCTAAACTGAGCAGTGCTCTGCTTCCCGGGTGTAAAGGAGAAAGAAGGCTTCCCCACCAACTCACTTCCTCAGCACCCTCTCCGTCTTCGTTTCTACCCTACCAAAGAAGAAGGAAAACATCAGCCCCCTAAGAATGTCTGTGTTTCAGAGACTCCCACAGGAACAATTCTGAGGTGTCCAAGTCCCACTAGGACGTGCACTCCGTGAGGACAGTGACATCATCTGTCTTGTTCCCCATTGTGTCCCTCGTACCTAGACTCATGCCCGACACACAGTCGGTGCTTAACAAATATCTGTTGATAAATGAGTGGACACATGAGCGGATGGGAAGGAAGAAGCTGCTTCTTCACTAAGAGGAAGTAGGCCTGAGACTGCCCCTGAGTTTCTACTAATTCTGCTCAAGCCTGACCGACTTTTTACTCACCTTCTCTTGGCCTCTTTTCTTTTTCTCTCCTTTCCCTAAGTCACTGGGTGTGAACACAAGCTATTCACTTCTTCACTTCTGAAGACGGGAGTTGGGCTAAGGCTGAGAGAAAAGCAGATTAAACCCCAGGTGAGGGACCAGCAGTTAGCGTAGGCTATGTCGCTGGATTCCCACGTAGTCGACCATGGTTCACGTCCCGGACCCGGTGGCTTAAAACTCACGCTGGGCGCATGTGCGTGCATGCCCAAGATCCCGAGAGGAGAATGGAGGAGAAGGGATTGCGGCGTGACCATCCCCCCTGGGGGGTGATTTCTCGCTTTCTGTCTCTATGTCTCT